CTATTGAATCATTTCTCACTAAAATAAACATCCTTTTGACGACACAATTCGTGGAAGAGGTCTTCGATTAACGAGTGACGCGCATTTGCCTTTCTCAACTACCGCGGCTTATCTCAAGTGTTCTACTGCCATGCCCCTCACGCAGTTCCTCCCCGTGTGCAGTGAAAGTGACGAAATACCCTTGACGATCTGGCGCGAGCTATGCTGTTCATACTTGGATAGATTTTCTTCCGCACAAAATCTCCGTGGCTTTTAGTCCGCAAGCGAAATATACCGACCGAGCGACTGCTGCTTGTCGGCGAAGTTAGTGCCAACTTTTTGCGGATAGAGGGCGTTGCGTGGTTAGCGCAACGCATCCCCACGGCCATTAATCTCTGTTATCTAGACCGGGTTTCTTCCACACATCAGTTCAAGATCAACTTGTAATATCCACATCTCCGAGATTCTCGCGGAAAACGAGAGAGTGGAGTCTAATGGTGCAGGTCAGGGGACGCCAACATTTGGGGAATGGGGGACATGGAACTAGAAATAGCTACTAATTTATATTGGGCACAGTATGAATTTGCTAAAAAAAGTAAAAACGCAAATTGAAATAATTAGACAACGAATGAATGAATTCTGTCTTCTGGAATATTACGCCGTGTAATCCGGTGAAAGTCAACCAACGTTTCGGAGGAACATCGGCTCATTTTCAGGGCCGAAGTATTGCTCTGCTTCCTGTCTGCGTAATACTGGTTTCTTGCTAAGACTGACTTGTGAACCCAAGATGAGGGCAACATGTTTCTCCCTAACATTTCTCCCTAACATTGCTTGACATTTCATTGGACTAACCCAAGCGGACCCCAAGAAACTAAAAAAAAAATATATATATCGGGTGAATCGAAATTATTGTCGGGGTTTGCGTAGCTTATAAATGAAAACCCCGACAGTAATTTAGAAGCAGTCTGTATAGTGTGAGTATGACAGTATCTGCGATGAGACAGATTCAGCATGTGAACCGACGCTGTTTGTCATCTGGAATTAAGATCAGTGGTAACGATAGGCGTCAGTCTGCAGCGTGAGATATGACGGTAAGTGAAGTGTTTATACCAGCTGTGTTAATAATACGAATACGAGCTGGTCAGAATACTACCAGATCCTGTTCTCCTTGGAAATACGTGTGGTGCAGGAGTACGCAAAAGTAAGCCTGTATGCACGCTCTTGTTAGGCAGATATGTTTTGCCTTCTGCAGAAACTTGAGTAGGGTGACCTGAGCGAGACCACGTGTGCGGTCCATGTAAGATGGAAACATATCACTTGGTGCCCAAATGTTCCTCGTGGAAACGAAGTCTAGCGATATCCAAGGGCTTACTGTGAGCTAGACATGTAGGATGTGTGAGGGAGAGTGTAGATACATAAAGAATTTTAGTGCGGAAAACCTCGTGGAAACCTGCCCCTCGGGATACAAATAAGGGAGCGAATGGAAATGATGGATCATAGAGAAATGAGCTGCGAAGATGTAAACTGGAAGAAATTGGCATGGAATATATCATGCAACAAATTGAAATAAAAACACAAATATTATATTCATATAGCGAGATGTTACGTGAAACATTTCTCAGATGAACTATATGAAATGTGTCAAAAATGAAGCCTCAGAATTGAAGACCCGAGATGTACACGTAATAACACGTGGCCAGGTTATGGTTACCGCTGAGCTCATGGCCATCCTATATGGGCGCGTATGTAACAACGGTACGGTGATAATTAGTAGGGAAACCTATTTAAATGCTGCTTCGTCTGTTACGTATCTCGCATGGATTCACCCGGGATTAAAACCGAGTACCTGCGCAGGTAACAGTCATTCCTCATGATAAGGGAAAGGAACAAATGTTTTATGCCACTTTCGCTTTATTACATATATTATTACTGCTTGGAATAAATGAAACGCATAATGGGGAGGTTATGTTCGCATTTTGATCGTCAAGGATACAGAACGGATATTATGTAAACTTGGTATTGGGAGTGTACACAAAAAGTGGTCAGTCGGATTTAATTCTAGCTCACGTCAGTCAAATATCTGAAGAAAAGAGGCAGTTTGAGAGAACTAGATATTGATAAGAGGGTAATATACTCTTGGGAACGCGATAGGGATACATCGAGTTCTGTAAAAGACGGGGAATTCTTGGCCAGGCAATGGGTATGTGGCCTGTTGGTGTTAAATTGGGAAGCATCTTGTTGTGGCCTATTGTCAGGTTCTTATCCCAGCATCTTCTTGAGGAATTTCGAAAATCGAATGAAAATAAAGGGGATAGCTCGTCCTTGGATCGACAGTCTAACACTTGAGTAGGGTTTAAACCACTAAACCTCGAGATTCGATATTTCTATAGGCGTTTGTGTTAAATATCGGATATTCTTACCGAATAGTTGGGATTTGTTACCTTTGTGCCATCTGCCGCTCAGAATGTAAACTAGATACGTTATTCGCTGGTATAATGGCGCATGGTAAAGCCAAATTGTTGTTAGTGTTTTATAATTAAATACTGAGGCATTAACAAGTTTTTTTTTTCAGACTGCGTTGCTATTTTTTTAAGGACAGTTTCATACCCTCATCAGTTCCGAGGCACGTTTTATTTTGCGGGGAATAGCCACCAAAAAAAGTAATCTCAAAGTGACGGATTCTTGAACGTCGTTAGTGTAATAGTTTGAAACTGGCCTTGCTTGCGCTGCCTGGCACTGTTCGTCGTCAGGTCCTTTTCGAATTAAAGCATCAAACTTTTTAACAATTTACGTGCTGCGCACAAAGAAACCAGTTTTAAAGGCACAAACTCATATCGCGCTGGCCTATAATGTATCTGTTTGAGAGTAATAAAACGTAACATATCCTGCCATCTATCATTCGTGACTCGCGTCATCTCTCAGCAGTTGCATATTTATAGCTATCAAACAACTGAAATCCGGATGGAAATATAACAACAGAAGAAAAATCAGGATTAAAGTGTTATGTAATGAAACATGTAGAATCTATCTGATAGAATTTTTACCAGTCATGGATGAATGAATTTCGACGCTATCTCAGTTTCTGACATGATCTTCATCATTATCACTGGAATCATCAGTAGCTGGTACGGTAACTTTTTGCTCTGAAGGAGCCCCACCCAGTGGTCAGACGGGAGGCCAGACTGGTACGAAGACCAGTTCTAGCAGCTGCTGATAGGTATAACTGTATTTACGTTACAACGCAGTGTGTTCAGTTTACGCCCACTCGAATTGCATACACATTCCAGTCCTCGACGACTGAACGTGACTTTTCACTATCGTAATTAACCTTTAACTTTGTGAAGCGTTGTTCTGCCCATAAGTTAAGCCGTTACCATGATTTATGAATAGGAAATGAGCATGTGAAGAGAAAACGCTACCCGAAGGTTATTTGATTCGTTTGTGGTCTAGTGATCAGAATTCCTGGCTACAGATCCAGAGGTCCCGGGTTCGATTCCCGGCGCTACCAGATTTTCTGAGAAGTAATTCGTCTGGAACGGGGTCCACTCAGCCTAGTGAGGATAATTGAGGAGCTACTTGAATGGAAAAGTAGCGGCTCCGGTCTAGAAAACCAAGATTAATGGCCGCGGGGATCCGTTGCGCTGACCACGCGACACCCTTTGTCCGCTAAAGTTGGCACTAACTTAGTAGACAAGCGGTGGTCGCTCGGTCGGTACAGTTCGCTTGCGGACTAAAGGCCACGGAGTTGTTTCCTAAAACGATCTGCCTATTTATTCATATGCAGTGTTACAGCAAAGCTCTTTATTAATTTTTGTATATTCAACCCCTCCTGTGAAGCATAGGATGAATTCGTCAGTGATTAGAACACGTTGCCGCTTCGGGGTAACACACTGTATGCTACTTCTATAATTTCATGCCCATAGTGGCCGTGGGATCGACGTTACGGCAAGTTAATGTAGGGCCCTGAAACTTTGTATGCTACTAAACCTTCGAAACATAATGAACTTTGTGGAGATACTTCTGAAGAATGTGTAACAACATGGAGTCTACTCGAAATATATACGTATATATGTATATGCCGGTCACGGTAGCCGAGCGGTCTAAGGCATTTATACTGTCTTCGCTCGCTTAGAAACCGGGATCGTGGGTTCGAATCACACTCAGGGCATGGATGTTTAGTTTGTGTGTGTGCGTTTTTCTGTGTTTGTGTACAGGTAGAGCGACGAGCTGATCACCCGCCCAAGGAGTCCTACCGATCGTGTAAGATCTAGAAAAACCTAAGTGAACGGAGAAGTTTACGGAGGTAGGCCAAGGCCCACTGGGGCTGTAGTGCCAAGGAAAAAAAAAATATATACATATTTAATTACCGGTTTGGTGACAGCTGATGAACCGTCGGCACCAGGCATGGGAATCGTTTGTATGGAAACATAAGTTCTGTACGAAATATTATTTGCGTCTCAAAGGTTAACGAGGTACGGCGATTGTGAGAAAATTTTAGATCATAGGCGACAAATTTAACATAGTAAGACACCAAGTAGAAGTGGAAACCATATACATTGTACACACTAAATAGACTGTCTATCGTGTTGTAGTTCTCTGTGGTCGCACCAAATAGATATAAACATTTGAACGAAAATTAGGTATCTCTTCTTTACCGAGCGTCTTGTTAGGCTAGAAGTTCTTGGGAAGAACTAAGCGCCTGGATTGCTATGATACGACACGGACGTCACAGAAAACAAATTAAAAGGGGGGGGCACACAGCAAGGTAATCTCGTGAGCCTTGTAACAAAAGTAAGGGGAGATACACGGCAAAGTGATATCGTAAGCCCCATTAGCCTATATACTTAAAGGGGATATACAGACAGCAAGGCGATCTCATAAGCCTCCTTTTATTTTGCTCAAATAACGAGAGTAGACTAAAAATTACGCCATATGTTTCAACTACATTTGCGCTATAAATCTTTAATTATTTATTTGCTGGTAGCCCCCTGTTCAACATTTGTTTTCTCTGGTTGTTTCAGGCGGGTGGAGCATAGTCAAGCAAGAACGTCATCATTATGGTAAGTTTGTTATAGGCCTGTTATACTCTGCAGTCAATACACAGCTTTGTAGCTGATAAATTAACGGAGAGGCTAACAGTCGTTTAGGTGTTCGAAAAATTCCCTCCTTTTATGAAAACCGAAGATTCCGTACCGTGTCCGACAAGACTCCGTTATTTGTCTCTGTCCTGTGCCATTTTAATCCAGTCCCATCGTCACATCCTATGTCGTTTATGATACATTGTAATACCGTCGTCTCCTACACGCTTATATCTTCGAAGATATCTCTTCCATTCAGATTTTCCGGCAATAACTATGTATACAGACACTGTTACATGCGCGCTGCACCTATAGGGGGAAGTAGAGGTCTCTCGGTGGTCAGCTTCACGCCTCGACCGGCTTGCCATCTGGAAATGTGCCCCACCACTTATTGGACAGCGGGCTAGGTGGGCCCCAGAACCGATCAGTACTCTGCGGAGAAGAGAAATATCTTTCCCCAGCCGAGCATTGACACCCGAGTTCACAGTAGCCTAGTCTCTATACCGACTGAACTATCTCAAATGCCGTTGGGCGCATTGAATGGGTTACACTGTGTTGAATGAAAATTATATACCGGCCCTTGACCCAGAGTACCGACGTTTGGTAGAAACAAGCTTGTTGTTTGCATGACTTACTCTTCGACGCTAATGGAGGCCGAAACGCCTGGCAGCTTTAACCAGACTTTTATAACATCTCAGAACATTGCATCATTCATAGTCACAGCCGTGAAAATCTCGAAATAACCAGTATAAACCAAATTAAAATGCAATAGGATAATGACATTATGACATCTAAGGGAAGGAAAGTACAGTTTGCTTCTAAATTATTGTCGGGGTTTCCGTGGCCTATGATTTTCAAACCGGAAATAACAAAGTAAGACTTCTGACGGAATATGAAAGTGTAACTAAAAAAGTTTTACTTGGCAACGGTGTACTCTCCGCACAGATTTCTGGGAGAAGATATGTAGAGTGTTAGGATAGGTGGCGGATGGAAAAGTCTCAGGATTGTGTCCAGTAACGGGCGTTGTCATTACATGTGTTAACCCCAGGAAGTGCAGTGGTTACTGTACGTACCAGCTGCTTTAACACGCAGAAACTCTGTATTCTGTCCTGCACAGAATCCGCATAATTCTCATGTTAAATGGCGATTATTTCTCTGTGTAGCATTAACCCATTTGCCTTAGACATGGAGACATCCTCTGTGAGACAGAATTTAGATTAGCTTCGTGGCGTCAGAGGAGCGAAACGTGTGGTTTCTGCTGTCAGGTTGAAACCAGTGAATGATTCGTTGATTTCTATTTTCATAATGCGCACGGAATTGCGAATTACTGAAGTTTTATAACCTTGTATTTGAAGTTCAAGTAGATGAAGCCAATCCCATTAGTTCAAGGTTCAAGTTGTACAGGAGAAAGTATTCGCATATGACGTCACGCGTACAAGTCCATACATTGCGTAGGTGTAGTCTGCACCAAGCCCATCCGGTACATTTCAGTTCCTTGCCCATTTCCTTCATCCAGGTTTGTGTTTGTTTAACTTCATTATAGCTCAGTGTGTCAGTATTAGATAAGTAACTTACTTACTCATGGAGCTGAGCCCTTCTTGAGGAGCCGCCAATTCTGCACCTACTCAAGACTTTCCCAGCATTTTATGGAACCCGAAGGTTCAGTACCGTGTTCACAAGAGCCCTCCACCGGTCCCTATCCTGAGCCAGATCTATCCAATCAGTACCATCCCATCCTATCTCTCTAAGATCCATTCTAATGTTGTCCACCCACCTACGCCTTTGTCTTCTCTGTGGTGTCTTTCCAATATCCTAGACGCATTCCTCGTCTCCCCCATTCGTGCTACATGACCTGCCCACCTCATCCTTCTTGACAGATAAAATAATTATAAAACGAAATTTTTCGAAAGCAGATTGGGAACACAGCACACATCGCACAAAACTCTACGTGTTAACCAGCAGAGAAAACTGACATAGTGCAGAGGGTTCTGTAAAAGTTAAAGTAATAGTTACTCAGTTGGATAAGAAATTTCCCTCTTAAGAAAACCGAAGACCTACAACCGTGACTTCTTAAATGTATGGATATATTTACAGTATATTCCTAACCCTATAATCTGTTCCCCTCACCTTATTATGACATGAGCCAGGATAGCGCAGTTGGTATAGCTACTGGCTACGGGGTCGGAGTTCGAGTCCCGGTAGGGTAAAAAAATTTCACTTTTCCATGTCCAGACCGGCTCTGGGGGCCACCCAACCTCTTATCCAATGGGGACCGGGGGTAAAGCGGCCGGGGAAGGAGGCTGACCACTCCTGCTAGTGTAGAAATCAAGAAAACATGGATCTATACATCTACTCTCCCTTACGTCTTCTTGACGTATTGCTTAAGTAGTTAAGTACAAGGAAAACTTTACCTTTTTTAATGTTTCCATACAAATTCCTGTATTTCTGTCTGCAGTGACTCGTTGGTTATTGCAATCGAACAGAAAATTATCGCTTGGCCGCCATATTACTTTTAAATATTCTAAAGAGAAAGTTGCCAAAAAATATGCATATTTCTCTGGAAGGTAATATCACGCGCCATCTCAGACTCTCCATCGAGTGGTGTCATCATCTTTTACTTTATTTGTTTATTTAACGACGTTTTCAATAGTCCAGTATGTAGCATTCAGTGATAACACGATAATGAATAATGAATTTGATATTCGAGGAAGGCTGCTGTCCCGCACTTACTTGGAGGAACTGAGGAAGACCATGATAAACTTTGCGTCGGGATACTCAATCTGCGGACTGAAAGTATAGTGTCGATCCCAAGACATAAGTTCGTATAGCTCCTGTGTTCATATTATTCATGGTAGGGAATTAGAAAGTGACCTCCAGTGGCATGATGGTTACAACGTGTTTCGCGAATATACGCGAGTTAATTGCAAAGTTATGGGCGGGTATCCACTCGGACGGGAGGGTGCCGGAAGAGCCTGTGTTGCGAAAGTGGCTGAAGCTTCCAAATTTCCGGAAGTATGCACATCAGTAGGCTTCCTACAACTCTGTAGATGCAGACGCGCAAAGGTGAAGGACGTGTAAGGTCCGGGAGGTCAGGGAAGGACCTCCTTTTTAAACCCACGACACACGTGAGGCAATGTGTCCACATCTGCCATATTTACTCCCCTGTTATAAAAATACTTTTTTCTTTGTGGGTTATCTAACGAAGCTTTGGCCGTGCCATAGCTCAGCCGGTTAGTCGCCGGCTTCCCACCGCTGCGGCCCGGGTTCGATCCCAAGTCAGATCGTGTGGGATTTGCGGTGGATGAAGTGGCACTGGGGCATGTTTTCTCCGAGTACTTGTGTTTCTTCTGCCACTTCGCATTCCACCAACTTCTGCACACATCATCATCATCATCATCATCATCATCTACTATACGAAGAGGCTGGTACAATAAGCCAACTACTGGCCGACGTACCAAGTAGACTCAGTCTCACCCCACCCCAAGGGAAAATGGAGTGAAGCTTTAAGAATCGAAACTATAGCGTCGGATGGTAGGTGAATGACGAATTCGAAAGGATTTGGAAGCAGTTGTGACCTGTTATACCAGTTGTGACACCATTTGTCGCGTTTTGCCTATGTGACGCGACAAATAAATTCACCCAGATCTCGGATTTAGCGAATAAGTTTATTGGCCAGTCTCCTCTACACTTAACAAGTACAAATATTCACAATCACAGTTACTGCCTCGAAGCCAACTGAAAACCGACTGCTCTTCTAAGGTCAGCTACAACTGCACTCGTCTCTTGTCACAGTTGCACTCTTTATAACATCCACGCGGACTCGATAGGGAATCCCATCTCGAAGGGTTCATTCTGCTCGCTGCTATCGAAACGTTGCTTCCAACAATTCGTGTATAACGGTGGAAATTACACTATTGGGTTGTTAGCCGCTGTATAACAATGGATGTATTCCGATTGTAGCGGGAACATTGGTCGTTGCCTAGGAAATCAACTGTGATCTCAACTATTCCGGCTTTCTGGCACGCCACAATAGTAATCCAAACATTTTCCTGGAGAGACTGAGGAAACCCATTAAAACCTAGCATCTCCCGAATATACCACTGCAGACCAGCCTTTCGGGTGGCGAGTATTATTGCGACGGGATAATTCCGTAAGCAAAGTGATGGTTACGTGTTGGATAGCAGAGGTTCGATTGCCGATTAGTATAATACTAATACTAGTACTTCCACTCCGGCGACCTGTACCACGGACCAGTAACATGGAAAACATGGTAAACAAGCGTCATTCCAGAAGGTTTGCAGAAAGTATTATGCAAGTTTCTCCAAGGTGGAATGCTCGCCCGGGTTTTGTTACAAGTACAAAGTCGTGCTGGTTGTAGTGTGAAGGCAACTCTGTCCCACAGCTGATCAGCTGTGTAAATTTCATGCACTAAACGAAGTCGCCAAACGGCCCGTGTGCCAGGATTCACTTAATAGCAGAATTAAATTAATGGTGCAGCGTCTTTCTTGAGAAGCTACTAGTCGCCCAGCTGCTTAGAGTATTCACTACATTTTGTGGAAGGGTAATTACTGTGTTTACGAGAGCCCGCCACTGGTCCCCTTCCTGAGCCCGATAAATCCAGCACTCTCTCTCTATCCCTATTCCTTTAAGATTAATTTTAATATTGTCACGTTATATGTGTGTGACTCTAGATGGGTTTTGGATTGGTGAATAGATTTATTTATCACTTACAGGTCGTAACACCAAATAAGTGTAACACTGTCAAATTTCCACATTTTGCAGTTCACTAGAGCACACAGTCTAGTGTTCCCAGTCAGTTACTAGACGTTTCCTGGTAAGAGTTCCATCAATGGCTATGCCTCTGCCTCAGGCTCAAGTCCTCTCTTCACGGACTCCCGTACAGAACTGACTTGGTCACCCCAGTTGCCTTCCTTATAACTCCTCGGCACGGACCGAGTAAACAAACCCCCGTTACCAACAGT